AGGAAACGTATACAACACAAGTTTACCTAACATAGTTCTCAACCCACCCAGCGCCTATAAATTCAATAACAAAAAAAAAAGAAAAGCTAGAGATAAAGACAATAAATAATGCATAAAGTAGATCAGTATAGTCAGAGTTATCCCTGAGTAAAAGTGTGAAGAAGCAAGGAATTATTAGCAACGACAAGTATTACAAACATCTACTACTTCATAAGACCGTAACAATGAGAGTGATAAGAACATAACGCCTTACTTTCAAGCAGAGGTAACACGTGTTCAATTGAGTTTCATTAGGGGTAGCGTAATTAGTTACTTTTGTGAGTGAGTAACGAGTAATGGTATTTAGTTACTTCATTAACGTAAACATATTTGAAATAGTGATAATAAATAGGCCGCAATCGGAGTGTTTAGTGGTGCTTAAAAAGGAGGTCTCGTGGTCTTTGAGGTATTTAATCAAAACACAATCTCGGTATGCTCAAGCGCTACTCTTTTTTATATTATATTCTCTACAAAATCAAAATAGCTATTGATAAAAAGGCTAATGAACCAATATTCAATCTTTCCCCCCGGTCTGCAGAGGGGGGGTTCGTACGCCATATGTTGCATAACTTGCAGGATGAGCGGGAGGTCTCCAGTATTAACAGAAACTTTATTTTTTTTATCGTACGATTTTTGTGGAGTTATGTAACAAACAGCCCGCTGTAACGGAAGGACGACGCTGAAGAGCGTTAAGCATATCGAAAACCATATAAGAAGACTTCAGTCCCCCGACAGGGCCTTAACATTGTTACGTTTTACAGGAAAACGCGAAGAGTCTGTGTTAACTATCAATGACATTCTTGGCCCATAGAAAACTGTCAAAGGCTGTCGGAGAGGAACAAATTCGTTGTTAATTTTTCCTGAATACACAGGCCTGCTTCTTAAGATTTGACACACTGAACCAAGACACTCCTGTACAACCTTGACGGCATGTTGACTGGCGTGTGCTTGTGTGTGTGTGTGTGTGTGTGTCTGTGTAAATGTGAGTTTACTTATTGATATGGTATAAACATTGTGGGAGGATGAGTCTCCCACCACGGCGAGAGGGCACTGCCGAATGCCCGAACTGGACAAAGGCCGAGGCGCGCAATAGCGCACGTAAGACAAGCGCAGAAGCCCATAAAAGAGGGCACATGCCCACAGAAAGGGGGGACACGAACCGGCGGCGCGGAGACGCGTAGTTCGAATGCCGGGCATTATTATACTTTATCACTAACAACCCTTCGATGTCACTTTAATAAATGTAGTTTCTCGTTATGGAAACCCCGACTTCGTGTTGTTCCTCCCAGATGGGCATGCAGCAAGGCCACCCTACAACATGGGACCCCACATTAGGCGCCATGTGCTGCACGCCCATCCGGGAGGAACAACACGAAGCCGGGGTTTCCAAAACTAGAAACTACATTTCATAAAGTGACATCAAAGGGTTGTTAGTAATAAAGTATAATAATACCGGCAGTCGACCTACGCGTCTCCGTGCCGCCGGTCCGTCTCCCCCCTTTCTGTGGGGGTGTGCCCTCTTTTATAGGCTCCTGCGCCTCTCCTACGTGCGCTATTGCGCGCGTCTGCCGTTGTCCAGTTTGGGCATTCGGCAGCAGCGTCTGGCCGTGGTGGGAGACTCTTGCAGCCACAACATCTAATGATTTTTCTCTGTTGTGTTTTATTGACTTCTTTTTTTCATGAAGTAGCCGACTAGCAAACTTTGTGGTGTCAGCATCTTTGTGTTTTTATTTTTTTTCTTCATCAATAAAAATCGTCTGAGGTTATATCATCAGTGCCTTTTTATCATTCGTCAGTGCGTAGTTGAAGGATCCACAGAAACACCAACACATACTAAAAGCGCAAGTCGCCTAGTAGTTGCCGAACTTGATTGGCTCATCACTGATCATGAAGCACGTAGAGAAGAATGACGAACGCCATGAAATCTAGGTTTTGACGATGCTTGATAGATCCGATCGCTTTGTGGCGTTGCCTAAGCCAGGACAAATTGCGAAATGATGTATGATGGTTGCGTTTTGTGACTTATGGAGAAAGAAATTAAAGGTACGCACAAGCAGATTATTCGAGGATTTTACATAAAAGGCATAGGTCCTTAGTAGAATGCTGCGGATGAATTTAATACAAGAGCAGCGAAAGCTTTCTTTTCTGTATCCGGTCCCATTCACTCCTTTTCACAAAACAAATGTCTGTTAAAGTTTGACGCGTGTTGTCACACCCTTCTAAGTACTGTCCAGTTGAATCATAAAAACTTAAATATATTGACAGTTAACTACACTGTCGAGAGGATACTCTCGTTCTCCGTTTAACTGAGAAAGTTACAATGTCCGATGAACACCACATGTTCATGTGGGACATTAGTTGTGCAAACTTTAAACTGCCATTGGTGCCACCAGATGACGCTGAATATTTGGGAGAGATTATTCCTCAAGAAATATACGCTGGATCAATGTTTTCACGGACCTCGCTTTAACGAGTTTTTATTACAGTAAAAGTGTGTGATGAGAACCAGAGCACGTATTTTTTTTAGCGCCCGGCCACCAGCACGCGCATGCTGCCTCACGTCGTGCTTTCTTTGCGCGCGCACAGATGAGGCTCATGAGACGTCAAAGTATTGTTGAAGCTCGCGCTGGAGGCGGGACAAGGAAAAATGCTCTCCTGCCGTGCTTAACCAGTCGGTGACTAAAAAGTCTGGTTTTCACATGTTTGTCTGCTTGCGGCCGGAGAGGCATAAAAGCCTGTTATGTCGCATTCGGTTATGGACAAATGCAAGTGTGTGAAGGGGCCTTAAGTATGACTACTCAGAGAGTAAAGAGAGGTGAAAGATCGTGACACTCATGGCTTCACTGCAGGCACGTAGCCAGGGGGGGGGGGGGGGGGGGCATGAAGCCCGGGCCCCCCCCCCCCCCCCCCCCGAAATCTTTCAGTTTACTGGGACCTCTTCTCCCCCTCCCCCTCATACAGCATTTTATCATGGGTGCACCCCCCCCCCCCCGAAATGCTGGCTACGTGCCTGCTTCACAATTATAACATTCTTTCAGATATGTCGCTGATGAGGTCGGTGAGAAAGATAATCACACTGCTGGAACTGCGAGCAACTCCAGTGGGTCTGGGTCCTTCTTTGATCACGTGAACACTACGACCATGACGGATATTCTGCAAAACTTCCCGCGCTGCGAGGAGACGTCCTGCATCTTTTACAAGTGGGTTTTAAGTTGAAACTGGTGTGCTAACCCTAAAAAACAAACTGGAGTATGTTGCACATTGCGATAAAGGTAGAGGACTGCCCCCGATGCGACAGCACTTTCTCTGAATTGAAAAGCTCTTGATACTGGGCAAACGTACAATACAAACAATACTGGACGAAGTCTCAACTTACTCAGAAAATAATGTCTCTAGATGAATGCCAAGGTTCTTTTATAGTCGTGTTTGTTAGCCTGCGACATTAGTATGCGGAAACAAAGTGAGGGAGAAGGGAAAGTGCGAACGCGCATGGACGTCAGAGTATCGAGCTCAGGTTTGATTCATTACTGGGTAGTGTCATAGCCAGCTGCCCGCATAGTCCCTGACCGAATGAGAAAGGCGAGGTGTGTCTTTCGAACGCCTGGTTCAAACGCCCGGCTGCACGCGGGCGGTCAAGGTGCTCATACGAGACGCCGAAATGCTGAAGGCCGAACTCCTAAAGGACATCCCTGCCGTTCTCAAGTTGTTTGAGACTATACGCCTCACAAGTGGGCTCATTTTACACCGAAGCTATATACGGGGCTTGTTGGTCCTGTTATTTTCGTGTCTGTCGACAGAGCAGTAGGGTGTGTTCAGATAAGATCGAACATGCGAGTCCGTTTCGCATTTTTGCTTTTCTTCATATTTTTATATGTTACTCCCCAATATGTGGAAGGAACGAAATCACAAATGTTTTCTAAAAAAACAAATATATCTTAAGGAAAAAAAGACATGACTGCCCCAAGACAGAAACGCCGTTTTCGGGCTTTGTCTGTTCTGTCAAGTTTGACTTCATGTAATAGGCAAACTAAATATACCAAAAAACTGAATATTTTTCAGAAAGCAGGGGATTATAGTTGCTACATTTTTGAACGTTTACAGTATTCTCAAAATTATATATCGCGCGTGCCAAATTAACAAATGTGGCTGCTTTAACGTTTTGACCCCATTTTTGTGACTCGTTATGTCGTTATATGTTAAGGATATTAAACTGAAGCTTTTTTTATATGTCCTTCCTAAACTTGTCCTTTACCAAAAAATAAATTGCTGCTCTAGTGTATAATGCAAAATATATACAGCGCTTCAAACATATTCGAAATTGAAAAGTTCCGCAACTTCAACGTGCAATTAAAAAAAAACCCATCTTCGATCTTTTTAAAATTTGGAGGAATCACTCTCCTCTACATCCTCATTAAATTCCGCTAAAAACATGTTGCATCATTTTGTTTCCGTCAAAAGTACAGCGCTTTGAAATGTACCTCCACACGTGGACATGTTCGCCCAAGGTCACGGCCGCAGTGTGGCCGCCTTCCATTTTTTTGTTTAGAAATTCTCATAATGTCCTGTTTTTTTACTTGTACACGAGTTCGAATCATACACGTGGACCGCTCTAAATGCATGTATAAAGTACACGTAGCTCAGGACAGCAGCTCGAAGCATCGAAGATGCGAACTAAGACGAGCCCGCCCTTCGTGCTTAATTGTTGCATATGCCGCTGCACGGTCGCGCGAACTGAAACACAACCATCCGCACGAGACACTAGTGTCGATAGAAAGAAAGAACATATATAACCTGCCGCGTATTACGTCCGTGTTCGCCTTGTATAGTGAACACGACCTATTGAGCCCAAACAACGTCGGATGCAACCGGAGACGCCAGGTCACGCGACCACCCGGTCGCGCGAACGTAAATGCCTAGAACGAAACGATATACAACACCTGAATTTGCGAAGTAAACCTAAGAACTGAACATAACACCTCGGTGGGATTGAGGATCAGCGCTTTTACTACATCTTTATGTGACTGTTTTAATAAATCGCTGACACCTTGGCTTGTCCACTCGTTCCGGCTGTCTCTTGATGCGTCGTCTGTCATTGTTGTAAAATAAATAAAAATGCATAGACACTCAACATGTTCAAGCAGCGGTTATGAAATAGTGATCGTCGTTGCGCTTTCTGCGGTCCGAAAAACAGTTAGTTCCGAGTTCTGCCTCGTTCTGCGACTTCGCCATACGTGCCACTTCTGAATTCCACGGACGGCTCGCACATTGCTCCACTCTTCCTTCTCCCGGTTCCGGAACTCTACAAGTTCAGTTTCATCCAAGTAGAGCAGCTTGACCCCTTTGAGATGCTGAGACAGTATTCTTGACATGTCTTGTCCATTTTGGATTGCCATGCTTGCCGGCTGTCGCAGGTTTTCTAGAGTAGCCTGATGCTTCACAAGCCCTCCAACGCCATCGCATGCATTTTTGCCGTGCCCAGTGGCGGAAAATAGCCATTTGGCTGCAGGGTACTCTAATTTTCTAAACTCGTGTAGCTGATACTTGTTCTTGAAGTGGCTCGCTGCTCCATCGCTTACAAAAGTCACTTGCGAGTGCACGGGAGCGTTGTCATCAAGCCAGTCTGTTATCTGTCCGATTGCGCAGCAGGCGTGGGCGGAGTCGTGGCACACATCGTCGCTGATGACAGCGACGCTACGCGTGGATTTTCTTGTTGTAGCAACGCATGTAAAAACCAAAACTTGCTTCTTATGCCAGTGGTAGGCTTGGACCTCATCGGGAAGAACAACGGTCCAATTCTCCGCAAAATCAAAATGCAGCACGAGGCTTCTCTTTCCTTCGCACAGTTTTTCTGTGTATATGGCCTTTCCTTGAATTGACCTGATATGATTATGAGGAATCCATCTTCCTACCAGTGTCTGAAGTTCGTTCATGAATGTCATTGAATCCAAAGATTCTTTTATCAGGTTGCCGGACTCCCAGGCAGCTACCAAAATTTCTGCTTCTTCTGGGATTCCAACCCACTCGAGCGTAAAATGGCTGTCCTTGGGGCATCGTCCACAATCGCCAAGCCGGCATTCATTGGTCGGCGGGGAGCACATGTACAATAATTCCAAGTCCAATATGTTGACGTCCCTACCGCTTACGCTTTCAAGAGCCGCAACGCAAAGCTTAAAATTTGCGCAATATATGCATACACAAACTTCTCTCTGGGTGGCACACTTGACCCACCGGGGTCGCAAGGAATGAAACTTTGTGAGACCAATCTTGGTTTTGGGGTGTGCATTTTTAAACACACGAAATGACTCGCGGATTGACCTCGTCATAAAGCGCTTGGAGATGTACTGTTTTTGTCATTTAGTAAGACACAAATGACATCTCTCTGGTTTGTGCTTTGTCTTAAGCAGCCCAGTTCGTCCTTAGTAAAGTACTCAAGCGCCACCGACAATTCCTCTTCGCTCTCCTTGCATCTCGAGTAGGGATCCGGCGTCGACCACACACCGTAGTCATCTCTGAGTTTGCGAGATTTGTTGATGAGATACCTCGTTGCCTCCGGCACGGCACGTTCGATCTCTTTCCTCGTCAGGGATGGGGGAAGGGGCGTCAGTAGACGGCAGCGTTCCTGGTGGGAAGGACACGCAGCGTATGCCAGGCGAAAGTTGGTCATCCACTCGCTGCACGTGTTGCACTTATCTTGGGACGGTCCTGAAACGTCTCATGTCCCGTAGGCTGTTTGAATCCCCGTACGAACATCGGAAACCACGGCCTCTTCTATTTCCCCTTGTTTCCTCTTCCCATAGGACTCTCTGCAGCGGCTTGCTACTTGACCTGGTGGCTTGAGCGGTGAAACGTTTGTGGGCAGTACGTAGCGATTCAACATGTCAACGACCTCACTTTCTGGAATAAATGCATTCCCACCACTGTCGGAGCTCTCTGGTGCACTTTGTATTTCAGCTTTGAAGTACAGGAAACAATGCTGGCACAAGTAATCTGTTTCTTTCACTTCACCGGATGTCTCCTGGGGCAAAATCTTCTTCAAAGAGTTAACACCGATATTTCGCACGCTGCGAAAATTTCTCTGCATTGTGACTTTCTTTTTGTGTTTGCTGAGATAGCACAAAAAACTCTGCTGGCGCTGTAAGTCCCTGCTATAGCTGAGGACTCCGCTCTGACAAGGCGTGTATTAGCAAAGCATATGCCACGCAGATACTGGACTCGCTCCCTTCTGCCCGACGCCGAAACAAAGAAAGAGAGAGAGAATGGTTCATACTTTATTGGTATTGAAGTCACGAGGTGTGAAATGAGTGCGTGCGTGCGCAGTCCGACCAAGACACGCAAGCGTAAACACGTGAAGTGTAGAGCGGCGCACGTTTACTTTGACTTGCTATTTGATGCCGCGCGACAGATGGTGATAAAACCCGAGACTCAGCAACACACAAAGGGACGAACAGAACACAACGTCTCAAACACAGCTGAAGGTTTATTTGTCAGACACTCGTTTAAAAAAGGCGAGCCCCCACGGTGCCCCAACCGACATCCACAGTCCCGAAGGTCAAGCCGCTTCCTCCCGCCCAGTACACGTCAGCAGCACTCCTCGCACAAACATACATGCACACACGCTAGGCGCCACAGCGTCCATGAGAATGTCCACGCAGTTGACTTGTCACCCGCCACCGCCACCACTGCTAATCCCCCACTTCCTCGCAACGCTTCCTTGCCCCCCGCCGTCGAATCGTGCACAAGCACACCACTGAGATATACCCCCTTCCGGTCCCCCCCCCCCCCCCCCTCCTTTTACAGTTGCCGACGTAAACACAAACCTCGAAAACACATGTGGAAGCCCGTCCGCTGAGCCAAAAATGCGCCACCAAGTAATCTAAAAGCCTTAAAGTTTGTGCCGCTATCCGTCCGTCCCCCCTTCTATGTACATACTTCCTCAAGACGAGCGTGTTGGTACATACTGTTACCAACACGCTCGTCTTGTACTTACTTATCCCCGACCTTGCCAAAAACCTTCCTCCCCCCCCCCCTTCCTTTTATTTATTTATGTCTCCTTCCGTTCGAGTTCGTTTTTGGCTATAGTTTTGTTCTTTCGCAGTTAAGGTTCGCCATAATAAAGTCTATATTATATTCCTACTCCTCCTTTTTGTGTGTTTAAGGTTGGGAGCTTCTTAGTTATGTGATGTGCCAGTTAATTTGGCATAGTGCGAGGATGTATCAATATAAATGTTTAGGTTACAATCGGTTGGTGTTACGAAAGTGTCTGTTATGGCCTGCGATCGCGCCCAGTCTGTTGCTTCCAGGCGTCCCGTGGCTCGCCGTCCGGCTGTTCCCTCCCGGCGTCTCCCGTTGCATCCGCCGTTGTTTGGGCTCAAAAGGTCGTGTTCGCTATACACGGCGAACGCGCACGTAATACACGGCAGGTTTTCTATGTGCTTTCTTTCTATCGACCCTGGAGTCTCGTGCAGGTGGTTGTGTTTCAGTTCGCGCGACCGTGCAGCGGCATATGCAACAATTAAGCACGAAGGGCGGGCTCGTCTTAGTTCGCATCTTCGATGCTTCGGGCTGCTGTCCTGAGCTACGTGTACTTTATACATGCATTTAGAGCGGTCCAGGTGTATGATTCAAACGTGCACAAGTAAAAAAACAGGACATTATGAGAAGTTCTAAACAAAAAAATGGAAGGCGGCCACACTGCGGCCGTGACCTTGGGCGAACATGTCCACGTGTGAAGGTACATTTCAAAGCGCTGTACTTTTGACGGAAACAAAATGATGCAACATGTTTTTAACGGAATTTAATGAGGATGTAGAGGAGAGTGATTTCTCCAAATTTTAAAAAGATCGAAGATGTTTTGTTTTTTTAATTGCACGTTGAAGTTGCGGAACTTTTCAATTTCGAATATGTTTGAAGCGCTGTACATATTTTGCATTATACACTAGAGCAGCAATTTATTTTTTGGTAAAGGAAAAGTTTAGGAAGGACATATAAAAAAAGTTTCAGTTTAATATCCTTAACATATAACGACATAACGAGTCACAAAAATGGGGTCAAAACGTTAAAGCAGCCACATTTGTGAATTTGGCACGCGCGATATATAATTTTGAGAATACTGTAAACGTTCAAAAATGTAGCAACTATAATCCCCTGCTTTTTGAAAAATATTCAGTTTTTTGGAATATTTAGTTTGCCTATTACATGAAGTCAAACTTGACAGAACAGACAAAGCCCAAAAACGGCGTTTCCGTCTTGGGGCAGCCATGTCTTTTTTTCCTTAAGATATATTTGTTTTTTTTTTAGAAAACCTTTGTGATTTCGTTTCTTCCACATATTGGGGAGTAACATATAAAAATATGAAGAAAAACAAAAATGCGAACCGGACTCGCGTGTTCGATCTTATCTGAACACACCCAGTAGTCGACAGAATTATCAACACAATTTTCGACAGAAAACAATCGCGATCACCTTAGCACCGCTCGCGGGAGCCTTACCTGTTATCATGAGCATTGAACACTTGTTTCAATAAGAAAACCACAAAACAAGTGTCAAAACCACGCGTAAGATGATAAGAACACACCGCTTCCCGCAAGCGCTTCGCGGCAAAGTTTGCGGTTTCATAAGCTGCCGCGGCAACACCCAGTGTACCAGATCTTTCATATAAAAAAAAATGTTTTTGTACAGTGCATTTATTTTTTTCCCAATTATTCGGTATAGACCCTTTTGCTGTTTACACAACTGAATTGCCGCTCGCGTCCCAAGCTACTTCCGGTCGCACCGTCCATGCAAGCGAGTTGATCTCGCTTATGTCACCAGTGCTAGAAGCATCAATGCTACGCGGACCACAAAGTTAGAGTTATATTATAATGCAATTTAATGCAAAGGTGCAAGCGAGCTCCGCCTGGTCCGGGTTCGATACCCGGACCAGGCGGATTTTTTCGGTCGCTCACCAGTCACCTAGCTGTTGTTTAGAGATTTACGTTTGTCCTTTGTCCGCCTTGTTCCCCTGGTTAGCTCAGTTGGTAGACCGCTCCACTTGTAATGGAGAGGTCCCGGGTTCGGTACCCGGACCAGGCGGATTTTTTCGGTCGCTCACCAGTGACCTAGCTGTGTTTGGAGATTTATGTTTGTCCTTTGTCCCTCTTGTTCCCCTTCTCCAGGGATTACTTTCGTCATTCTTGTCCAGCTCGCTTGCACCTTTGCATTTAATTGCACTATAATTATGACTTTAAATTGCAAGCTTCACCCTTGTTGGTGTTCGATTGGTGGCAGCTGATAAAACCCGTTTGCTCTACTGACGTCTAACCCCTGGTTAGCTCAGTTGGAAGAGCGCTCCACTTGTAATGAAGAGGTCCCGGGTTCGATACCCGGACCAGGCGGATTTTTTCGGTCGCTCACCAGTACCTAGCTGTGCTTGGAGATTTACGTTTGTCCTTTGTCCCTCTTGTTCCCCTTCTCTAGCGATTACTTTCGTCATTCGTGTCCAGCTCGCTTGCACTCTTGCATTTAATTGCATTATAATTATAACTTTAAATTGCAAGCTTCACCCTTGTTGGTGTTCGACTGGTGGCAGCTGATAAAACCCGTTTGCTTTACTGACGTCTAACCCCTGGTTAGCTCAGTTGGTAGAGCGCTCCACCTGTAATGGAGAGGTCCCAGGTTCGATACCCGGACCAGGCGGATTTTTTCGGTCGCTCACCAGTCA